ATTTTCAATGTGTTATTTGATGGTATAAAATATAAATTACAGATAAGTGAAACTCCGTTTAATTACTTTCTTCAGCTAGATATACCTCTGTTTACCCTTACTTTCTACTATTGTTTTGCATACTCTCTTACATGACCAGTGTGTATCCATTTCCTTTCACACTGTCCTTGTCTTGTAGTATCTGTCCTGTTCAAAAAGTAGAACTCTAAGATTTATCACTTTTATTTGTCAAAATTTAGCAAATTGCCATGGGGGAGTATTGGAAAAACAGTTTTACAACCTAGAGTAGGTTTTCATTTTGAACTCTTGGAGCTCTCCACACATCCATTGAAGGTTCGTGTAGTATATGATTTTAAAGGGACCTCCTAAGTCCCAGAATTTCTCATTGATTGCATCATAATGCAAGGAGCTCATCTTAGTTATCTCCCTTCATTTCATTGCTTAAAAGTGCACAGCTGTGTTGCACTCCGCAGCCCTGTTGATCAGTTTCGCAGCAAGAATAATCTTTAATGTACTTTCACAAAGCCAACTCTCTATCCTTTCTAACTTTTTTCTCATCTTGATATCACAGCATGAAGAGATGAGTTGACTGTTTCTATAGAGGGCTCCACTCTCTCAATGGAGCATTTTGAGTTTCACAATCTTTAATACAGATGACTGATGATAGCCTGACAGCATAGACTCGTTACCAATGTGGATGTTAATGTTTATCTCACTCTATGTTTTATTTTCTTGTATATTAAGCCTTTGACAGGATGTATTCACATTAATGTACTGAGGCATAACGCTTGGCTCAACTTTATTTGCCTTACTATATGACACACTAATAAATAATTGTAAAACTACACTATCTGCAAACCAATGTAAAATATGAGGTATGTGCTTTTGTGTAAGCCTCCACTAACATGCTATTTATTTTAAACTCTGTCAATGCAAAAATAAAGATTTTTTTTAATTTTATTTTTTTAAGTGCAACAATCTCCACATATTACTTCAGGTGTAAACTCATTTTTTCTCCAAGTTAATGCAAACCTAGTAGACATAGCTTCTACTTGCTTGCACAGTACTTTCATTATATTTTTATTTAAAAAAAAACAAAAAACACTTCAACAACACTAACCAATAAAGAATGTATCCTGACCTGGAGATCGCATATCCTTACTTTGGATGATTCCATTAAAACCAAAGTGCAAAACACCTTGGAGTACACAGCATGGTTCTCGGCATAGGTAGTGGTGTGTCGAGACCCTTTACAAATAACACCTTGTTAAACATTAATGGTTACTAAAACTGGAAGCATCCTGGACAACAATGCAAAGATGGGGGGGGATGAACCGGTACCCAGTTAATTCAGTTACTTTAGTTTTTCTATTTTTGTTTAATTACACCAAGTCCAGGCACCAACTTCCCAACGCTGACACTGACATCATACAAAGTTCGTTTAATGGAACGGTTGTTAATTTTTCAGACCTTCTGTACTTTCTTGTGTAGTGCAGCAGTAAAAACATTTCCTGAAAACACAAGAACAAGGGGACAATTTTTAATTGTTTTTATTTTTCAATGTCCAAATTTTATTTTAATGTATTATCAATATAATGCTTTAAAAATGGGGCCCATCCTTGATCATCCCTGTAAGTAATATTTTTACAATGCACTAGCTTCTTAATGAAAACAACGTTTTGTTCTTGTTCTTTTAATTAGATTTTCCAGAAACAGTTCCTCCTAATACAGAGGAAGTGATCAAGGGGAATCACAGTGAGTCATTTATTTGCATTCACTCATATTATATTCTTGTTATAACTTCTCACTCGTGAAGAAGTAATCTTACTTTTATCATAAGAAATGTTGTTTTACAGGCTTGATTCATAATATGTAATAATCTTACATTATTTATTAATATAAAAGCAAATACATTGCAACACTTACTATATGTTTTATTATTACTGCTTATTCTCTTGAATACAGTCTTTCCATTTTGTAACCACATTTTTTGTTAGATATTTCTATGAAATTCTGTTTTTGTGCTATAGTGGGAGTTTTAGAACACAGACGCAGTGAAGCACACACCCGTATACCACCATAAACTGATATAGTATAAATGGTGGGTGCAGAAGTCAAGAAAAAAGCAAGAACTTGGCCTGGAAATCTTATGTGGATCAAAAGCAGGTGGCATATATCTAGATGCAGGCTTGTTCTATGAGTCAAGTTCAGGCGGGGCATTATTACTGTAGGATCTAGTCTGTGGGTCCTGCAGACGACAAAGTTTTAAAGTCCAATATGCAGACCAATAGTCAGTACACAAGTAAGCATGCAGAAGCATACAGGTAATAGGTTGTAGGCAGTTGAAACAATTTAAATCAGGCTTGATAAGAGTTCAATAAATAAATAAAGTGTGATGTCTCACCACCACGAGCGGGCACTCAACAAAAGAGGAGCCCTGCTCGACAAAGGTGCAGCCACGCACTGAAACACGCGTCAGGAATTTTGATTTATGAATTGTTTATTTTTCACTGGGCAATTTTTTGAGCACTCTTATTATGGCACCTGTAACGGAGCTCCTTGTACTCCGACTGAGTACCCTCCATTGACGGATGCTCCTAGCGCTTCCTGAGGACTCCAAGCACTGCAGAAGACACCGCAACCACCGCAGACTCCACAACCGCCGTATCTGGACTGAAGTCTCGCCGTCTTCCTTCCACCCTGGATCAGCTTGTGTCCTCCAGGACTGTGTGGGAAAGAACTCTTCCTTCCACCCTGTATGAACCTCCAGCATCCAGGACTGTGTGGTGAATACCCCTCCTCCAAGGAGAGCATGTCAGGAACAAGCTCTTAAAAGAGCTAAGTGACTCAAGCTCAGGGGAGCATGCAGAGCATAGCAATCCCCAGTGTGATTATAACAGCTCCCTCCAATAATGAGACAAGGCTACATTTAGAGGGATCAAGAAGAACTGTCAAAACCTTTATTCCCTTGGGACCAGCCAATACAGTCACCACAATAACATTGTTGTGAAACCTCAATAAAATCACAAACAGTCAAACCATATCAAGAAACACACAGTGACTTATCACAACATAATGGCACATTTTTAAAGGGGTGGGGGGGAGACAATATTTAACAGTAAATATCTCACCTGCCTGCAGAATTAGCAATATGCAAATCTACCCGAATATGCAAATGAACCAGTCTTGCAATTCAGGTAGTGCATATTGCTGTTGCTACCAACAGAGGGCACTAGACCAGCTCCATAGCCAAACCCACCTAGTTGGTAGCAAACCTCAGCAATACAAGAGAGCAGGCAATACATTACACAGTACACACACACACTATAAACAATTACATTACACACACCCTGCACCTATAATGGGTACAGGGTGACTAAAACATAGGATAAATAAAGCAGCCCACATAAATAGTCTGTCTGAAGGTAGACTAGGGGCTTTAAAGCCAGATAGATGAAAGAGTCATAGTCACAGGGGAGGAGGCTGGCAAGTAGGCCTCTCCAGGACCAAGTGGCAAAGGGCACTTCGTCACAGCACCTACTTAGTCCTCTAGTTTAGTGGTAGTGTGATTCTCTGAGCTCAGTTTAGCTATAGATTGTAGTAGGTTGCTGTCACTTCAGCAACTGAGGTATTCTCTGACCTTTACTTAATTATCTACTTTTATCTCTCCTCATCTCCCTGTTTTTTCCTACTACTGTAGTATCTTGAGATTCATGGTTCCTTTTTGAAACCCCTCTAGATATATGCTTAACACCAGTGAGTGGGAACCCTAATTTCATTGAGGAGGGTTCACTGTTTCACAGATACTGACCCCCTCCTATTTACAGGATTATCTAAGGAAACTTGAATCCATCTAATTTTATTCTTAAGCCCCTGTGTACTACTTAGATAGTTTAATACAGGTCTTTAGCACTATAAAACATTATTTATCCGTTGTTACCGTGTACATTTGACTGCACTTAATAAAGTCTGTATAGTACATTGTAGCCATTTCTGGGAATCTCCTCTATACCTTCATCTAATCACAGTACTTTTATACACCATTTAGAGAGTATTGTCTGTAATTTCTTACCTACCAGCTAGGGGACTCTGTCTTTGGGTAGAGCTTTCTCGAGTATATTTTTTTAAAATTTAATAGCGTTCAAATACAAACTAATTCCCAAAAATCAAAGACACACGGCAGCAACTCAGACACCTGCCAGACCAGATATCCACAGTGTTCCAAGCCTACTACCAGAACCTATATAACATCCGTTAAAAAGCCCCGGGAGCTCCACAGACTAACATAATTGAAAACATCCGGGACTACCGGGACGCCGCGAACGTGCCAGAATAGGTGACATAGACGAGAGGCATTAGAGGCACCCATAACACCAGAGGAGATAGCGTACGCCATCAAGAGAGCAAAAACAGGCAGAGCACCAGAACCAGACGGCCTCCCCCTCCAGTATTAGAAAACGTTCACACAAGATACGACACCGAAACTCCTAATGGCACTTAATTCCATCCAAGACGGGGCTATACCGACGGCCCAATTCACTTCGGCCAACATCACCCTACTCCCGAAGGAGGGGAAAGACCCAACACTGTGCCCTAGCTACAGCCTGATATCCGTGCTAAACACGGACCTTAAACTACTGGCGAGTATTCTCACGACCCGACTGGCGCTGCTGCATAAATCCACCCAGACCAAACGGGATTCATCCCAGGCAGCAGGGGCGTACCTAGAGCATTTGGCACCCGGGGCGGACCCAGAGTGTGGCACCCCCCCCATAATAAAAATGTAAGAAAACACCCACAATTTTTTCAATGTTTTCAATAATATTTATTTCACAAATTTGTAAACTGTATATCAACTTGAAAAATAAATTAACTTAGAAATAAATAAAATTTAAATAATTAACATTTACTTAACAGTTAATACGCTTTCTATAAACAAAAAAAACACACAGATCCAAAGTGACCACTCAGTCTATTCGGCAGAGGTAATGTGCAATGATTCACATCCGCTGCCTTCGAGCCTTAATTTCTGCAAATTTATCAATTACTTCATCAAAGCCAATCTTCCTTGCATATTCATGCTCAATTGAAAGTATAGCCAGATTTGTCAACCTTGTCTCACTCATGGTTGAGCGAAAGACATTTTTTATCAATTTTAATTTGGAAAAACTTCTTTCACATGAAGCAATAGACACACAGAGAGTCAAAAAGAATCTTAAACACAGTGACAAATTTGGCAGAGATTCACAATAATCCCATTTAACAATGAACTCCAGGAACTGTAATGCCGTCCATTTCTTTGCTTCTTCAACACTGATCTTGGCAGCTTCCAAATGCCTCCGAAGATGTTCAATTTCCCTAAAGATGTCTTCATTAGAGAATTCGTCAAAAATCTCAGTCAATTTTGGAGTATAATTACGAATATCTTTCTCTGTTGCCACAACCAGAGAGCTTGGCTGAATAACAGCAAACATTGAAAGGATTTTTTCAATTTCCTGAGAACGAATTTCCAACTCGTGATGAAAACGATCAAGGCACTCAAACATAGCCCTTTTCATTTCCTCTGGCAATGTGAGACCAGCGTCCTTTGCCTTCTCTCCTGGCATTGTTTTACGGAGCTTTACTCTCCCTCTTCTTTCCATTGAAATGTCCATTTCTTTACACATAGTAGTTGCATAACAAATGGCCTACTCCACAATTTCACTGCGCTGATGTGTTAGAAACGCTTTCAAACCTTGTAGTTTCACAATGCACTTTTCAAGAGTGAGTCCCACAGTTTGCAAATATTTCTGTGTTATATTAACTTCTTCTAGAACGTCACACCAGAAAGAAAGGTAACACAAAAAAGAAAAATCACATATGGCAGACAGCAACATCTGAGCCGATCCTCTTGTGTCCACATTTTCTTTGGGATTACATAACTTTTCAAGGGCTGAAGTCAGTTTTTCAAAATTTGCCCTCACTGGCTTCACAGCATCATATTGAGTGCTCCATCTTGTTTGGGAAAGTCTTTTCACTGTCACACCTACATTTTCCATCAGCAATTCGATGTGTAAAAACCGAAAAAAAGGAATACACTCTCTCCAATGTTCCAAAAAAGGTCACACAGGAAACAACACTTCCAAATGAGTGCAACCCACATAGGTTCAGGGAATGGTTAGCACATGGCATAAACAAAGCCTTGGGATTAATCTCTTTTATTTTTGCCTGAACACCACCATGAATCCCTGCCATAGTTGCAGCATTATCATATCCTTGACCACGGCAAAGGCTTATGTCTAGTCCATCTTCCTCCAGATGTTGCAGGATATTTTCTGTGAGTTCAGCAGCAGTCTTTTCAGCAACAGGAAAGAACCCCAAGAATGATTCCTTTACTTCAACATGGTCCCCTTCAAAATGAACATATCTGATCACTTCACACATCTGATTAGTGTGGGACACATCAGGGGTGCTGTCAAAAAGAATCCCAAAGTACTTTGCTTTCTTGATATCAGCCACTATTTTGTCCTTCACATGATTTCCCAAAAGACAAATCATGGAAGTCATTCTCTTTCCAGATGCAACAGCATGTTTCAGCCTCATGAAATGTTCCTTTAAAATGGGATCATAGTTTGAGAGCAATTCTATCAATTCAAGGAAGTTGCCTTTGTTTGCGGATGACATGGTCTCTCTATGACCACGAAAGGGAAGATTCTGGTGAGCCAGAAACAAAGTTACATCCAAAAGGCGATGCAAAATATCCCTCCATTTCCTTTTCTCTCTGTCCACTGTTGTTTGATGGACATGATCAATGCATTTTTGTAGCTTCAATCCTGCTCTCAAGGTCTTCCATTTCTCCAAGTATGTAAGATGCTGCTCAGAAGCCTCATGATCAGACACCTTTGGGTTCAGTTTCCACCACAATTGAAACCCAGTAACAAAACTGGATGCCCCTGTTACTTTGTCATCAACAGCAAAAAGTCTGCAGCAAAAACATGGAGAGTACACCATCCACGTTCTAAGAATTTTTTCGCCATTAGGCAGAGCCTTATAGAACCATGCAGTGGTCAACTGTCGACTCTTCCCTTTTGATTTCTCTCCTTGCCTTTCAACAGGACTGAATGGCCCATCTCTATTTTGGAAAGGTTCACTTCCCCTCTTAATAAGGTCCACTCTTAAAACATCTGGAACTGGCCAAGCAGCAACATCAGAATAAACTGACAGTCGAACAGTCTCCTCTTCTTCATCATCATCATCATCATCAGAGTCTTGCTGATGCAGGCTTCTGCTGGCATCGCCTTCATCTACATCACTTTCACCGCTGGAAGATAAAATGATCTTCTCCAATTCTTGCGCTTTCCCATATGAAGCTTCTTGAGAAGATACTTCAGGCATTTCACCTCTGGATTCAACAGACTGAATGTCTTCAGCGCTTTCTCCTACTGCGGTAGATGTTGAAGGTGCAACATATTTTAAAATTGATCCAGACATCGCCTCAGCTGACTTTTCTTTTGCCTTCTTAATTTTTCGTTGCTGAGACCCGCTTGGTCGATTTCGCTTCATATTGGTGTTTTCTGCAGAAAAATACTAAATTTATTTTGGCTCTAGGGTTCGCTAGTGTGATATCTGTCTTATATTTCCCATCTTGGCATACCATTTGTAAAAGTAGACAACCCAGGGTATTTAAAGGGACACTATAGTCACCCAGACCACTTCAGCTCAATGAAGTGGTCTGGGTGCCAGCTCCCCCAGATTTTAACCCTCCAGATGCAAAAATCGCATCCAGCTTGCAGAACGTCCATAGGAAGGCATTGAGAAAGGCCACTCGGGAGCTGATGTCGGCGGGGGAGGAGAGTTCACCAGCGCCGAGGGAGCCCGGCACTGGATTAAGATAAATGGCTGAAGGGGTTTTAACCCCTTTAAACCCATTCAGCCACTTACCTTTCTCCAGCGTCGGGCTCCCTCGGCGCTGGTGACCTCTCCTCCCCCTGCCGATGGCAGATCCGAATGCACATGCGCGGCAAGAGCCGCGTGCGCATTCAAACTTCCCTTAGGAAAGCATTACTCAGTGCTTTCCTATGGACGTCCAGCGTCTTCTCACAGTGAGTTTTCAGTGAGAATTGCGGAAGCGCCTCTAGCGGCTGTCAGTGAGACAGCCACTAGAGGCTGGATTAACCCTCAGTGAAACATCTCTGAAACTATGTTTTCAGCTGCAGGGTTAAAACTAGAGGGACCTGGCACCCAGACCACTTCATTGAGCCGATCCTTAGAAACAGCATAGGAAAAGGATTTGGGTTCAAAAGATGTAGCGGCTAGGGCAGAGGTTTTGTAGAAGGGGGCCAGGGCAGAAGTTTTGTATAAATGTGCCAGTTTTGTAGAAGGGGGAAGACCAATGGCGGATCCAGGGGGGGGCAACGGGGCAATTGCCCCCCCCCGAGAAAACCGCCTGTCTCCCTCTCCCTCCCCTGCCAGCACATGCAGGTGCTAGCCCTGCAATGTGCCTGCGGACCGGGGGGAAGATCACAGATCTCCCTCCCCGGTCCGCAGGCACCGTGCTGGCAGCCGGCGGCGGAGGGAGGGAGGGAGAGAGAGGACCCGGAGCTCAGTCTGCAGCTCCTCCGGGTCCTCCTCTCGTGAGATTTGGAGCGTTGCCGCGGTTACCACGGCAACGCTCCAAATCTCGCGAGAGTGAACTCAAGCCTGGGAGCGCGGGCTAGAGTTCACTCTCATCACCACTGGGACCACCAGGGAATCCCCCACCGGACCACCAATGAATCGCCCACCGGACCACCAGGGAAATGTCCCCCCTCCTCCCCAGTAAAGGTAAGAAGGGAGGGGGGACATAATGATTATTTTTATTAAACTAAATTAAAAAAAAAATATATTTTTTAAAAAGCCCCCCTACCCTTATCACACACACACACTCTACACACATACACTGATCCCCATACTGCCCTCCCATACACCCATACTGCCCTCCCATACACCCATACTGCCCCCCTATACACACATTGCGCCCCATACTGCCCCCACATACACATATACTGCCCCCCCATACACACATTGCCCCCCATACACCCATACTGCCCCCCCATACTGCCCCCTATACACACATTGCCCCCCCATACACCCACACTGCCACCCATACTGCCCCCCTATACACACATTGCCCCCCATAGACACATT